AATTTCATTTATTCATATGAAATTCTAGACAAAAGACATCTAGTTCATGTTAGCTAAAGGCCTGAACTGTATAAACAATGGGCCTTATTCTGGACACTAGCTTTCTTTCTGGGAATCTGTAATCTTGCTACATTCCTAACTTCCAGTAATAACCTTGAAAGCCAAGTCTCTAATGAGTTTCCCTAGTAGACATTTCACAGGTATTGTCACAATTTGTTGCTGGAATAATCATGCATGTACTGTGAGATTAGAAGAAAAGTCCTGGAAACTTGGATTTTGACCTTTAATTTTGCTTTGTATTCTTTCATTGTAATAAATCATAGTGCTGAGTTACGTGAGTTGTCTCAGCAAATCATTAAACTGGAAGTGATCTTGGAGATCTCTGGCACAGATAAATAATTCTGAGTTCAGAGGAGGCATCTAAATTAGATACAGAAATATGCAAGTCATCAGCACACAGAAGGCACTTACAAACTCATGAGGGTGCAAGAGAACACTAACAGAAAAAATGGAGAGGAAAAATGGAGTGCAAGGGCTGAGCCCTGAGGCACAACTATTCTGAAGTCAGGCAAATGAGGATATGCCATCAAAAGGAATTAAGAAGAAACAGAGTTAGCATGAAAATCACAAGTTATCCTAAAAGTCAAAAGAAGAAAGGTCTTCAAAGGGAAAGGAACAGTCAAACAATATAAAGTACATGAAGACTGGAAACGGATCATGAGATTGAGCAAAGAGATGTGGGTAACACCAACAAAAGCGTTTTTTACGGAGTGGTTGGAAGAAATGCATGATTAGAGCAAGTTCAAGAGAAAGCAGAAGAGAACACTGAAACAGCAAGACGAGGTAACTTCTCTTTTGTCAGAATCCTGACATTAAACATTCCAGTGACTCAAACTATGAGGAAAAAACATTACTGGGGTTTATAGGTCACTCAGTTAATGATACTCTTTTTTTTTAACAGCACCCTAAATGAAGAGAACCAGAAATATGGAGCAAAAACTGAGAAACTATAGCTTTTGTTGTTGCTTTTAAGACAGAATCACAATGTGACTGTATAGTGACATAAATAATCAAACATAGTGAGAAGATTTTACGATGGAACAGGAGGGATAACTACTAGAACAAAGTCCTTGAGTAGGTGAGAGGAAACAATATACAATCGAAGAAGTTGACCTTAGCTAACGCAGAAACAATTTAATCACAGTAATGAAAGGGACAACAAAGAAATGTTAGCAGCAATGCACATAGATGAGCAGATGTAATGGTAAGAACTTAGAGAAAAATCTCTTCTATCTTCTCAATGAGAAGGAAGGTGCTGGAAATTTAGGGAGAAAGAAAAAAGTAAGGAACAATCATGAAGGAGAGTGACAGGGAGAAAGTAGCAGGATTGCTAGGGAGCTTTAAAGACCCACTAGAGACCAAGGACTGTTTTATGTGCCTGAACATTTCTTTTTCCCAGCTGTATTTAGCCACAGAGATGGAAGGGTGGACTTGGCCAGGGTGAGGTTTCTCCATCTTTAACTAGGGCAAAAACAGAGGAAAGAAAATTGAGGCTCTATTGCTAGAGAGTGATTATGAAATTCCAAGCCTGAGGAAAGGAGAAGTAAAGAGTAAAGAGATTCCATTGGAGTAAAAGGAATTTTAAGGTGAAGAACTAGAGCTGGAAACATCAATGGACTGAAGGATAGTGACTCCAAGAATGGTTTAACATTATATGAAGTCTAAGTCCAGAGGACAGGAGATTCAAAACCAGAAAAGCAGGGAAGGGAGGTTAAGAGAGTCAGAAGGAGGACGGTTAGAGCAGTGATTTTCAAAGCTGGGCCTGAGAAACACTATGGTTCCCACGACACTATTTTCAAGGTAATTTTCAATAATGGCCTTTTCTTTTCAACCCCCACCATACCCCCATCTCTTCTCTCTTCCCAAACAGTCACCCTTTCATGTCTGTTTTTTTTTTTTTACATCTAGATTCCACATGAGAGAAAACATAGTTGCCTTTTCTTTATTCATTTTCTAATGTAGAAAGGAGTTTCCATCACGTGATGAGGAGATCATGACAGCTAACGAATCTGATAAGCATTTTAATTTTTCCTAGAATAGATAACTATCTATTGTTGTGGGTTTGGTGCATAACCATGTAAATTTCCTGGGATTAATTCAGTTTATTCTAAATACTTTTACTGTGCTTTTATTAGCTATCTTCAGCTACATCTGTCATAATCTCTACAATCTCATCATTATCCAATACATGCTACTTTAAAATTCAAGGTTTCTTTGTGCCTACAAAGAAACACAAGCTCTTATGCAGTCACAACTACCTTAACACTGTCTAATCAACATCAGGAACACACACTTATGACTACTGCCCCTAGTAATAGTCTGGTCATCTCAGTCTATAAAGAGCGCTCTATGATGATCCCACCATCATGAGCTCACCTAATGATGCACAGTCTGCTGTTAAAGAATAAATGGCGTACAAATTCATGCCTTGTTCTAGAATACTAGTAATTTTTTAAGATGCTTTTGAAAATTTTCTAAATCTTTAAATTTCACCAAAAATGTTTACAATTTAATATTTAATTCCACAACCTTGTTTTTGTTTTGTAGTGTTGGGGATCTAACCCAGGGTTCACCCATGCTAGAAAGCACTCTACCACAGACCTACATGCCAAGCCCTAACACCTACTTTTAATGTGTTTTTCTTTTACTTAATAATGAATCATCAGCTTAAAAAGAGGAACTTGAACATTCACCTGTTTAACCCACAACTATACAATTTTGAACCTAAACATGCTTACAAAGATAAATATGATATATCTGAGTTCTTTGACTCACAGAAGGGAAGACTAAAGAAAGTGGGCAAAGCCAGAAATAAAAATTTAAGAATAGGGCTGGGGTGTGGCTCAGTGGTAAAGTGCTTGGATACCATGTATGATGCATTGGATTTGATCCCCAATACTGCAAAAAAAAAAAAAAAAAAAAAAAAAAAAGTCTGTCACTCAACCATATAGATATTAATAACTTAACTATTGTGTCTCATGCAACAGAACACTTTTGAGTAGTATACTATCAGCTGTGGGCTCATTAAGGCCAAATACTTGAGTCTAAAGAAAAAGAAATTATTTTAAGTGAAGATGTGACAAACTCTTTAAAAGCCAGAGATTGTTATAGACATTACAGCTAGGAATGAAAATGCCAGGGAAGCATCTTATAAGGTAAGACATAGCATCACTCTGGCTGGAGAAGTGCCATCATCAATTGCTGGAGACCTGTAAAGCCTTAACAAATGACAATGCTGCATGCTTGCAAGATGAAAAGTCAGTCCAAGAGATGAAAGTCCTGACACTTTTCAATGATACAGTAACTCTTCTTATTAAAGATTTGGCAGAGGCAGTATTTTATCTACATTACATGACTATCTTACAAATACATGACTATACAAACATGGCAAGACCTAACGTTTTGTTATATTCATCTGGTATTAGTATCAATTTATTATCAAAGATCTTTTATCACAATGCCTGTCCATAAACACAAGTAATGCTGAAATATTCAAAGCTTTTTGTATTTCCTCATTTACTCTAGAGCATCTGTGCTTATGACTACACTGATGATGCAAAGCAACACTGGGTAAAAACAGCAGGTACCTTAGCACAAATCAAGGCAGTAGCACTGAACCATACTAATGATCATTAAATTCTTCTCTGTCACACGCACACACTTTCAGGGAAAGAAAAAAAGGCTTCTTCAGCTTACGAATGTCCCTGCTGCAACAGCCAACAGCTGTACTGATGAAATCTCAATGGTAAGTATTCTTCTTAGTAATCTGTATAACTAAGAACTAGGGCTGCATCCAGGACAAATGCCTTCATAACTGCTAGGCTGAGAGCTATACGACCTGCTGTTTTTTTCACTCAATACTATTTTTATTTGAAATGATTAAAACTAAGGCTATTGTGATTTGACTATCTGTCAGCACGTTCCTCAAAAATAAACAAAGTAAGTCTTTGCAATTTCAAGGAAAACAATAGGTGATATTTGTTCCCCACAATAAAAATTCAAAGTTTTCAAGGAAAGATTAGTATTCTTAACTTGTACATGCCACAGTGAGTGTGACAACTTCCCAACACAGAGTTCAGATATGTGACACAAAGAATTGCTTATTATTGCCCAATGAAAGGCATCAACATTTGGAAGATTTGCATAATTCAATAAACCAAAATCTTCCAAACGACCAACACATGATGTTACAAAATCAGGCCTGGATAAAAGATCAAAGTACAAAATAGACTGAAGAATTTTAATTTAACAGAATATGAAAAGTTCAGTGATTCACAATTTTGGTATAGGACCCAAGAAGAATGCCCACAACTATATGAAAAGGCTACAAAAACATATATTCTCACAATTATATTGCAGTAATAGGCCAAACTGTCTTCATATAATTCAATCAAAACAATGTATCATAGACTGAATGTTGAAAGAGATGCCAGAATTTAAACTGACATCAAAGACACTAACAAAACTATAACCAATACCACTTTTCTCAAAAATTTTCTCTTTGGAAAATAAACCAATAGAGAGTAACTATATAAGGACTCATGGTCTGGAATAACTTTTTAAGAGTGTTATAAAGTTTCGAGACTAAAAAATTTAAGAACTTATGGTAAAGAAGCAATGACAGTAAGAAGAAAGTTCACTATCCCACCTTCAAACCCAGTAGTATGAGAGGTAAAGAAAAAGCAGCCACCACTGAGCAGTCAGGTTTCTATTAGAGCAAACTGGTAAAATGAGGCTTCCCTCTCTTCTGAAACATCAATTTTCTTCATCTACCAGTTTACTTCTCTCCCACTGAGTAGTCTTAGTATTACTGGACCTACAGAGGTGTGACAACTCTAGCTAACAGTCCAGGTTAGTTTTCACATTCTGAGCCAATCACTTCTAAACTTTCAACTATTGTATATACCAGCACAATGCAACATCAACAAGATTCTTCCTACCAATTTCACTTCCACTTCCGCCATCTTGCACACTCCACAGGATAATGCTACTCTCTGAGGCCACAGCAACCATTTTGTCTTTGTCTCCATGTGGTCCTCCAACCACTTTTGCATTTAAAGCCACTCGTTCAATAGTCCAATCTAAATATGGGCTTGTGAATACTTGTTGCCATCCTGAAGATTCTTTGATTCTATTAGAAAGAATAGATACATAGTGCAGTAGTAAGCAAAAAGAATACAAATCAATGTACCAAAAATAACAATAATTAACCACAGCTACCCATCCATCTTTATATTTAAAAATAAAATTGTCTCATGTATAAGGACATAATTTTATTCCAGATGTATCTCATACTTACATAGGACATGTGACCACTTAAAAAGAGGTAAGAGTTCTATTTTTCTCCAAAAAATAATCTAAGTCCCCTCAAACACTTTAAAACCTCAAAAGAAAAAAAAAATGGTTGTATTGGTTGTATCTTTCGTATTTCCACAACAAAGTCTACCTATCATTTTCTTTTTTTTTTCAAGTTAAGTACAAATTTATTATCACATAAAAATCTTTAAAAATTAAGTAATTTAAAAACAAAAACAAGTAATTTACAGAAGGATTACAGTATCTAGAGATAATCTAGTGTACCTTTCAAAATGTACTGATACATTAAAATCAATAAACATCCAGAGAAGGTAAAATGTGAATTACCTCAGAAGTGAGATTGATTAGCTCCACCTAAGATAACTGTTAAGCACTATGTAGATTATGAACACTAAGTGGGGAGGTGGCCCAAACAATGTACACACATGCAAGCAAATGCGAAAATGATAAAAAATAAAATAAAATTATACACTTTACAAAAAGACCACTTAGGATTTTGAAGGAATTTCTAAATTCATAATGAGAAAGCAAAGGAAGTTGTCTACATGCTTACAGTAGAAGGGTGGATATAGCAAAGGATAATAAAGATTTACATGATAGATGGATTCATCTTCCCAGAATTTGCAAGATTTCAGGATTAACTTTTAATGCCATAGAAATCTACAAAGCAGGTATAAACATATTAAGTTTTTGTGGCCAATTATTCTTCTGGTTTTAGCTGGCTACTAAGCACTGTGTACATGAAGATTACCAATACAAAATTTTGAGTAACTTTCTGACATAACAATGACAAAGAAAATCAAAGTGGTCACATGTTACCTGTACCAGGAATCACCAATCTGTCTAAAAAATATTTACACAATAGATGATATAAATTGAAAAGGAAACTCCTTCTCAAAATAACTTTAAGAAATTATATGCAGTTTAAGCAGAGAAGAAATTAAATATTTGAAATAGCAATCAAACAATACTAAGAATATATGTGTGATGGAATTGAAAATTTGACTATAACCTTTTAGGGAGAAAAGGTAAAATCAATCCAGTCCATAAAAATAATCAATATTGTAACACATACATTAAAAACCACAAAATAGAGATGGTACAAACTACATAGAATCTATTGTAATTTCTGTAAGAAAGTAAAAATATAAACACTACCTATCCAAAAAAGGAAAAATATTTTCCCTCAGAGGGTGTATAATTCAAGTGAACTAAATTGGTTTTGCCCTGTATATACAAAGTCTATCAGAAAAGATAAAGGCTTAGACCTCAGGTGGACCCAGACTGAAACAAAAAGATATGTTTATAGAGATATACAGAAATTCATAGAAAAATGGGAAGAAAATGTGAATAAGATATAGCTCCAAAGGAAAAAAAACCTTGATATAAGCACTGGGAGAAGTAACCAATATCAAGGAACATATAATAAAAGAAAAGATGATTATTGGGGTTTGGGGAAAGGGAATTAATAAGACTAGATGCTAGAAAAGAAGAAACAAGTTTTACTTTTTAGAAACAAATTTTAGAAGCCATAAAGGAAATTCACTGCAACACATCCGAATTAATTGTTGAACAAAGATGCCAATTCAGAGGTAATATTCTCAGAGTCTCAAAAGGAACCAATCTGGTTAAATCCAACCAGCTTCTCCAAAGACTCTGAGTACAAAACTACCTATCATTTTCTATGGGTAAAAATGGTCAACAGCTATCAGAATTATTCCTTTCAGTTATTAATCAACTTAAAAGTTATTATTACTAACTAAAATGACACATTAAATCAACTGTTTCTGGCAAATTAAGAAAAGAAAGTACACCACACATTCTAATACTGCAGAACAATTAGATGAACAAAGAAGAGGGCTCTGAAAATTGGTTTTAAACTTCTAAATGCAGACTTTATGGGACTACTAAGTCTCTAGATGTAAAACTAATGTGTTATTTAATACTTAATTTCTTCAATAAGTGTATCTGTCTACTTTTAATAATTTTCTGCCCTATCTGAATTTAAGTCTTTGAGACATTCTACACGATTATATAGCCTAGTTAGATGGCCTAGTTACGTCATTATGATTAATGATTCAAACTAGTATATATTTTCAAAGTTACACTAAACAGTTTATGTAAATAAAATTGTAATTTTTCTCTTCACCTTACCTAAAAAGAATAAATAGATGAGAAGAAACAAAACTATTTCATTACATACTACTTGACATACTCTTTGAAAAAAATCAAACTTAGGAGGTGTGGGTATATAGCTCAGAAGGTAGATTAAGAAGGAGCAGTAAGACTTCTCAGTAGTATCAGTTTATACTCTCTGGGAAATATTTAAGACATATAAAGACTACTGGTAATATTTACTAAACATCTGCCAAAGTAAAATCAAACTAAATCTATTAGATGATAAAGAAGTAGGTGAAGGGCAGGCAGAGTGGCCCCGAGTTCAAACACCAGTATCATCAAAAAAAAAAAAAAAAAGTAGGTGAAATATGCAGGGAAAAGAATTTATTGCTAAAAGAAACAACTCTCCAATTTAAAAATATAGAATTACAATTTTTAAAAACTATCCTCTTAAATAAAGAGCAAACCCTTATAAATTACAGAGTACCTGTAACACACAGCAAAATGTGCATATGCAGCTACAATCCAGTTGTGGTGGCCAGCTACTATCAACACCTTTCGTGGATCCACAGGAAATCCTGTTAAATTTAGAAAAAGAGTATTTTACATTCTAAAACAGGAGTTGGCAAATTATGACCCATAGGCCAATTTCAAGTCTTCTGCATGTTTTAGTTCAGTTTGGTTGGAGCACAGCCATGCTCATTTGATTACATATCGTCCATCATGTTTTCACACTAAAATGGCAAATGTGAGTAGTTCAGTAGAGGTCGTATGGACCTCACAGCCTCAAAGTTGAATTTCCTCTCTGGCCCTTAACAGATAGCTCGCCAACCTTTGTTCTAAAGAGTCAGAGCAAACACCACATAGCATTTTAAATAAAAATTGTGTTAATGAGACTTTCTAGATATATAGATTAAAAAGAGGTAAGGCGCTGGAGCACAGCTGCTCAGTGGTAGAATGCTTACCTAGCATGTGTGAGGCCCTGAGTTTAACACAGAGCAGAAAGAGATGGGGGGGGGGGGGTGGGGAGAGGGAGAGAGAGAGAGAGAGAGAGAGAGAGAGAGAAAGAAATAGACAAAACTTACATATTTTTAAAAATAATAGCATTATGGAGAGATAGACACATGCACTTTTCTTTTCTATGTACATAATCTTTGCTTACCCAGCCTAACAGTTTCCTCTCCAGTTCCAGAGAGAACAGGCTGTGTTCCACTTCCCCGGGCTTCCCCCTCTGTAGAGTTTAGGCCATTCCTACAATCAGCAGAGGACCTAGCTGTGTTGTTTATTTTACGACTAGGAATACCTACAAAGGTGAAAAGACAAATTTATTTCTAAGTTAACCTTTCAAAAATTAAAAATATCACATTGTAACAGAGAAATGTGAATTTCATTATATCTGAAACAAATTTTCAAACACAGCAATTTATTACAAATAATAAAAACCAAAATGAAGATGAAAAATATAATTTAACAGATATATGTCATATTGTTTATAATAAGTAAGACTTACCATATTATGATCCACTTTGCCCAGCAAAATGGTCACTAACCCAATAGATCAATCATAGTCTGTGAGCCAGTCTTTAAATTATGGAACAATTGCCAGGTGTCAGGTACCATGTACTAATTCAACTACTTTAGAACTGCATTTCCTCATACTTTCTAAAAGGGGAGCCTTTGTAAAAAGAGATATCTTGCTTAGAAGCCCACTAATACATGGGCAGAGGCAGAGCTCTTCTAACTTGAAGTGGGGCTGAGATGACATTGACATCTTTCTGAAGAGTGCCTGGGGTTCTACAAAATGGATCTGTAGGACCCGTGACATACATGAGCCCTCTGATAGAGAGGTTAAGCAGTATGTGCAGAGCTGAGTACTTGCCATGGAGATCTTGGGCTCACACAGCTTATCTGGTCCTTTACAAGAAGTCTGCCAAGCCCTACTCTATAGCATAAACATATACTGTGACTTTACCTTTATAAAAATCAAAGTTCTTACTATTTCTAGATTTATATAATAAAAACAGTTTTTCCTATTTATGTTTGTAGTTGCTTAATGATAAAAACAATTTTTTAAATGGCTGAATAAATTAAAGCTGAAATACCTGGTGGGGGCAAGTAACCATGAAAAAGGACACTGCCACAGGATGACCGCTCCAATTCTTCACATAAGAGAAGCCTTCTCACTAAAAACATTTCAAAGCAAACTTGTCAAGAGTACATGCAAACAGAAAAACAGTGCTCCATTTTTATTTTCTCTAGTTAAAGAGGATAAGGAAAGAAAAGGGAAATGGTTAGGTTAAATCAGAGTTGACAACATCTTTTTACTCTGAAAATCCACAAAAACTAAGCACTGAACTATTCCGTCAAGTTAGGACCAGACGTAAAACACGTTTCACTTGAACAAATTTAGTGCACAAAGAGTCAAATCACAAACACAAAATACTGAGAGAAAAACACCTACCTAATGGAGTGATTCCATAAAATTCTGCTTCATGCCTGAGAACATTAATACTCACTCCCCTACAAAGAAATAAACAAATGGTGTACATTCTTTTTGATGTACATTACTTTTCTCCTAATATCCTTAATCATTTGAAAACTGAATGTCAATAGAAACATTTGCTACCTACTTAAAAACCATTCATACACAGATGACTCAGATGAGTAAGTGAGAGGTTAGGGCTCTGTAGGGTTCATACAAATGAATTACCAAAAAGAACGTGACTAGACAAACAACACAGTGGAAACCATTCTTTTATGGAATCACTTTTAATTTTTAATGTAATTATTTCTACACAGATTTAACCTCCCCATTACACTAGAAGCTCCCTACATATTTGAGCTATTTTGTATTCCTTCTATACTGCTTCTATAGTCATGTAATAGAAATTACTTGGTGAATGAATTAAAAAAATTGAAAATTGGATTTAAAAAAAGACTAGCTTTAGCAAGGACTATCTTATCTGGATGAAGATAATGTTATTTTATACTAGTAAAGTTAATAGAAAAATTAAAAATTTTCAATGTAAGCTTCAGAGTTTACTAATGATTCATTTTAGGTTTCAATTATAATCTGCCCTTACTTTAAAAACAATCCCTGGCCTTAATAAACATGTGTAATTATGATATTAAATTGTTCTTATTTATGAAACTCATTATGGTTAGTGTAACACAACAATGCTTAAAACTTCCTGATTCCATTTCAAAACCATTTGTGTTAACAGTACAGCAGTACTGGCCAATTACAAGGTGGCTCAGTACACAAATCAAAGTTCTTGAAGAGCTCCCTTCTCCTGGTAAGGACAGACTAACAAATATGGTAATTAATTATAGTTTCATGCAAAGAACAAAGTTAGAGCACATTTGTTTTTTTTTTAAATTGCTCCCCAGCTTTTTAGAAGACAGCACTTGGAGAATTTAAACTTTCTACACTTTTTTAAATGAAAAAAAAGGTAGTATCTATAAGAAAAGCAGTCAGAAAATATAGACATTGAAAATAATTTTGCTTTTCATAGCTGATGCAATGTGAATTAGTTACAAGGACACCATCTAATAAGTAAAATGGATGAAAATAATCTTACTCAAGAAGTACCTCGGAACATACCAACGTACCACCTCCAACCAACTCCAAGCCAAAACAGCCCCCCTGAAAGCCTCCATGTTCTTTCACTCATTTAATAAATATTATTTTGTATGTATTATTGCTCTCTTTTTTTAACAGTGAAAATATACCCGGGAACAAGCCAGACCAAAAATATCTTTTCAAGAAACTAACCTTCTAGTGAATACAAGTCAAAAAATCAAGTAATATAAAGAAGCAGCTAAAATAAACACCTAGATATCTAAAAGTTGTATGTAAAAAACACAGGCCTTAACGAAGTTTATCTGGAATATATGAAATAAAAAAATAAAATTTCAAAAAAAAAAAAAAATCATGTAGTAAGCTCTCCTATGCATCAAGTATGGAACTACGTCCTGGGAATACATAGTGAACAGTAGCTGCCATTCTGGAATTTAAAGTCTACTGAAGACAGACTACTGAAGAAAAAGTCAAGAGTGCCTATAACAAGTGCTGCTGTGATGACAGGACAGGAAGCTGTGAATGAGACATTAGCAGACAGAGCAAAGGCTACCAAAGTAATCAGATGTGAAGATCAGGAAGAGTTCCCAAGTGCTGTAAAAGAAATTAAGCAAGGGCCAGATTACTAACAAACAAGATCAAATCCAAAATCCTAAACCAATTAGTCCTACACAACATACAAAACAAGGGTTTTAAACAGAGTAGCAACCCAATCAGATTCACATTTTTAGAACACAATTTTGGCTGTGATATGGACAGGAAGGAACACAAGGTAAGACGACTGCTTAGGAGGCTGTTGGGGTACTCTCAACAAAGTGGTGACAGTGGCCTGTACCCCAAAGTTTAACTAAGGAAAATTTTAATCAAAAATAATCTTGGCAAACATCACATGTTCTCATTTGTGGAAGCCAAAAAAATTATCACACAGAAGCAGAAAGCAGAATAGAGTCCATTAGAGGCCATGAAGACAGTAAAGGAAGGGAGGAGGGAACAGTGAGCAAGTGGATAATAGGAAGCAGTTATGTTATACAGCACAAGAGGGCACTGTCCTCTACAATAAATCATACATTTCAAAGTAACTGAAGAATGGATTGAAGGTTACCAGCCCATAGAAATGATGATGATTCAAGAGATGGAAATGCCAAATTGCTCTGACTTGATTATTACACATTATATGCATGAATCTAGTTACAATACTGCACCCCATAAATTAGTACAGACATTGTGTCAATTAAAAAATAGTCTCAGGGAAAAAACTTTATATACCCAAAATACATAGCTATCAGTGAGAATTTACTTTAAAAAGGATGAATTTCTTACCTTAAGTCTAGTTCTTTTGTCCGAAGAAAATTTAAAATGGGTGCAAATGCTGCTGGATCTCTATCAATAAATATCTACAAAAGAAGAATTTTATTTTCAAATTAAAAATTAAACTTCTCCCTTTAATACCTGAAATACTAATAAGGAACAGCGATTCAATTACTTAAATATCATACTCCCTTGATTCCATTCCTAATTTTAATGTTTCTAAAATCAGAATGCAGCTATAACTGTGTGTATTTAATTTGGTAGTGTCAGTTTTCTCATTTCTATTTACATTTTGGGGGAAAAAGACATCTGAGGAAACAGTTTTATCTGAAATATTCTAGAATTCCACAAATACTTTGAAAACATTATATATAAGTAATATTTTCTTATATTGCCAAATCATTAACTATTGGTGACAGTGGATGTGACTGTATTATACAACTTGTGAATCACTAAAATGTCAAGAAAAAAAAAACAAAAACAATGTACTTTTATAATACACTCAGGGGTCATCAAAAAAAAGCAAACCCTGCACACTGCTCTTAAAGCTGGGAAAAGAATATTTTTCAAATATCACTTTTACATTTACAGCTTTACTAGCTCAATTTCCTCAAGGGCTGTAAACAGGTAATGGCAAAAAAAAAAAAATCTTTTAAAATAACAAATACAGAACCACAGAATAGATAAGGAGAAAGTAAAATACTTTAAAATGTGAAATGTTACTGTAACATTTTAAGGAAATGTGTACCAAGACTACTTTGAATCAGTTACAAAAGGTCTAACCATAAAATTGAACACCTTGTAAAGCTTATCTAAGTCAACTGACAGGAAAATGGTTGCTAATAATAAAACTTTTTATACTGTGATCAATTATTTATACACTATCAATGAAATTCTTGCTTTTGATTTTAGTTGAGTCAATCAGAAATTGAGCAATCATCTCATATTTGTGGGGATCTTATTACTGATGAGGACTTTTTATAATTTCATATGGACTTGTCTGCTCTGCTACCTTATTCATCTGCACATCTCACCACAGCAAATAAATACCACTGGTCACTTCATTGCCTACAAACAAAAAGCCTTTAGACTTTGTGAGATCCTACCCTCCTTAACACTAGTCATTTCATGCATATTTTTAAATGCATAAACTGATTTTCGGACTGAAATTTTACAGGTCTTTACTTTCCTCACTATACCACTGCTTACAACTTCATGAGGTCATTTCCCAAAATAAGACTATGTGACTTTACCACTCTAATACCAAGCTATTTTCACATTTCTATTTATGTTACTACTAAAGTTTCAATTATTGATTAAAGAACTTATTTACTCTATTGCCTACAATTTCTCTCTAATCATGAATATTTAAAATTGCTGTATGAAGTATTTCCTCTTTAAGGTTCTCTTTCCTGTTTAGAAACACTACACATGCTAAGAAATTAAAAAACAAACAAACAATGCCACTGTTAGTGGTAATTAAAATGTCAGCTTTCCTAGCCTCTTAGAGTCACTATGTACTAGGGACCAAGCATTAATTGTACTAATTTAGAAATACACATCAACATTATACTCACAGCACCAGTTTCATCTCGAAGTGTTGAAATTCTTCCACTCAGCAAACTAGAAGCCATTAAAATAAGCTCAAGTTAGTTTTTAAAATCTGAGCATGAATAAATTATTTATCAAATGTCAAAGACCAATACACATGAGTATTTGTCTCAAAGTTTAAAATATTTCTATTTTAGCCAGGCGTGGTCAAACATGCCTGTAATCACAGCACTCAGTGGCTGAGGAAGGAGGAATACAAGTTCAAGGCCAGAATGTTCAAAATAGCAACACTCTGTCTCAAAAAAACCAAAAAACAAAGACAAAAAAATTTCTATTTTAAGAGCTAACATTTAGGAGCTGGGTATGGTGGTACACACCTGTAATCCCAGCACTTAGGAAGCTGAGGGGACAAAGGGATCACAAGTTTGAGGACAGCCTGGACTACAATAGCAAGACCCTATTTCAAAACACAAAAAGAAAAAATAAGCACAAGAAGGGTAATATTTTTATTCAAAAAATTAAAGTCTCAGCTGACAAGTAAAATTAGTATTTTGGCAAACAATCAAATGCATAATAATATGACAAAGAATTACATGAATTACCTGGAAAAAAAAGAATCTGGAATCCACATAAGAGTTTGTCTTGAGGTACTAAATCTGCAATTGAAAATTATCTGGTATTACAAATGAGAATATGATTCGAAATTTCAGTATTAGATGAGTTGCTTTAATATACTGGCTAATGATTTACAAATGGTTGAATAATTTCAGAGTTAAGATTATTCAAGGAGCTCTTAGCAAAAATCAATTAATTCTCTACCATATCATACTTCCTTAAATAGTACTTTTTGATCCATCACAGGAAATCTCAACTTCTCAACATAACCTTCAAAATTACCTTTAAATTCTATTTATCTTTCCAAACTGTCTTCCCCACAAAAGACAGAACTTCCTAATATCCCTAAGCAGTTCACCTTCACCATCATTTTGATATCTTCATGCCAGCTCCGTCATCCGCTTCATGTCCAATAACTCAAGTCTCACCCATCATTCTTGATACTATTAAGGTTTACAAATCTGCAATGGCTTTCTCAAATATTCTACTCTGTATCACCTTTTGAGCTCTTATTAACTCCACAGCAAATTACGCATTCAACACTACCTTTACATTTATGTAATAGTCTTAGGCTATTTGCAACTGTTGCATTCACTCAAGTAAAAATCACTCAGCAGATACTACTGTTCTGAAACTAAGGACCACTTGATCAAGTCTGCTTATTACCAATTCTGGAGGCAGGCATCTTTAATGAAATATAACAGACTGAAGTAAGTAAAAAAATGGCAGAAACTGATATGACAAAGAAGTGACACAAGCAGTGCTCATCCAGTCCAACCTACTGTCTGAATGCTTTCACTTTAAGACATCACACTGAGCTACAATGTTACTTGGCAGACTTTTTTCACTCCACAATTGTTTTCTGGTATTACATGAAATTTCTACAAACTTATTTTTATCTTTCATATTTAAACTAAACAGGATGACTAATAGTGGCAATGGCTGTCATGTGATATCACCAGGAAACATAGATAAGCCTCAGTAAAATGGCTTAGGGAATGTTCAGATAGTGGTAAACACTCTGTGGTCTGCCATCCCCTAAATCAGTAGCTTGGAATTATCAGAAAAGTGGAAAGTGATTACTATTTCATTCATTTCATTGCCCTTTCCCACCTTCCAAGTGGCATGACAGAAAATAGTGGACTGCAGGCCAGGTTGTATCAGAGACTCACTTATCTCTCAACTTGGCAAGTCCTGCACCAGTGGAGGCAGTTAAGGATTCAAGATATTTTATATCTTTTGATAAATGACTATTCCTCAAATAGCTGTCCACCCACGTTTTGAACTTATTTTTTGGGAATGCATTTTATATACAGTAGTGTATGTTCTCCTTAAAGTGGGTAGGGGGTGAAGAATAACCCCATAGTGCCTGGCAGCTAGCAAATACTCAAAATAAACATTTGTTGAAATTGAGGTATGATAAAGACTGTGAATAAACAAGGCAATACTGAGTGAAAAGAGAAACACTGGAGATATCACAGTACCTGACTTCAAGCTACACTACAGAGCCATAGCAATAAAAACAGCATGGGACTGGCACAAAGACACACACATAGACCAATAGAACAGCACACAAGACTCAGATATAAATCCACATAGCTACAGTCACCTGATTTTTGACAAAGGAGCCCAAAACATATGATGGAAAAAAAAACAGCCTCTTCAACAAATACTGCTAGGAGAACTGGTTCTCTGCATGCAGAAAACTGAAAACTAGATCTTGTCTTTCACTCTGTACTAATATCAGTTCAAAATGGATCAAAGACCTTAATGTAAGGTCTAAAACTTTGAAACTACTCAGGAAAGAAATAGGAAAACACCAGAACATACAGGCATAGGCAATCACTTTCTAAACAGAACTCCAATTGCTCAGCAATTAAGAGAAAGGATTCACAAATGGGACTACATGAAACGCATCTGCAAAGGAAACAGTCACTAGACAAACAGGCAGCCTACAGAATGGAAGAAAATCTCTGCCAGCTATACATCTGACAAGGGATTAATAACCAGAATCTAGAGGGCTCAAAAAAAAAAAAAAAAAAAACCAAACAACTAAACTCCCAAAGAATCAAAGACCCAATTAAAAAAATGGGCAAATGAACTGAACAGAAATTTTTCAAAGGAAAAAGTACAAATGGCCAAAACACATGAAGAAATGCTACTCCTGTACTATCTAAGAACGCAAACAAGAACCAAAGTGGGGGGGGTGGGGAACAGGGGGATTCGGGGGGGGGGACAACCCTCAATCACTGCTGGTGGAAATGTACAAGCACTATGGAAAACAGTATGGAAGTTTCTCAAAAAACTAAAAATACAACTCCCATCTAATCTAGCAATACAGTCCTAGGCACGTATCTAAAGGAATGTAAGTCAATATACAATAAAGACAAGTGGTAGTACATCTGCCTAGCAAGTGTAAAGTCCTGAGGTTCAAACCCCAGTACCACCAGAAAAAAAAAAAAAAACACTTCCACACCCATGTTTATTGTAGCATTATGCACAATAGCCAAGCTAAACGAATGCATTAAAAATGGATTTTTACATACAGATGTACAATGGAATATTATTCAGTCATAAAGAAGAATGAAGTTTTGTTATTTGCAGGTAAACAGATGGAACTGGAGACCATCATGTTAAGTGAAGTAAGTCAGGCTCAGAAAGACAAAGGTTGCATGTTTTCTCTCATATGTGGAAAATAGATACCAACAGAAATGCCAGCATTATCATATATACATATGTATACAGAACATCTTTCCAATAGCAGGACTATTAGAAGAGCCTCCCGACAGGACAGAAAGAAGAAAAAAGTGACAGGAGGTGAGTAACACTGAAGTACATCACATCTGTGTAGGAACAAGAGACAACAAAATACACTGAAAATTGTTGAACTACAGGGTTGAGGGGAAAGGGTAATGAAGAGTAAAGGGGGAGGAAGGGTTAGACTGACTAAAATACAATATATTTATAGGAAAAATACCAAGGCAAAACCCCACTGAGTAATGAACACACACTTAATGAAGGAGTGTAGAATGGGTCATGTTAAGGGGAAGGGCCTAGTGGGAGGGGAGGTAAATGAAAAGGGTAAAGGAGGTGAATATGGTTGATGTATTTCTACACATGTATGACTATGGAACACTGAAACCTTGCTGAAGTCATTTTAAGAAGGGAATGAGGAAGAGGGAGAGTAATGGAGGGAATGAACTAAACCAAGGTGCATTGTACACATATATGGAAATGCCACGATGAAACCCCCTGTACAACTAATATATACTAATAAAAAAGTTTTTAAAAAAAGAAATTACAGTGTGATAAGAAGAACCATACTCTTTATAGATTCAGTTAACCATTTTATACAAAACTGAGACAGTGATTCTCAGGCACAAACTGTAGGCTTTCTATAGTTACAACAGAGCATTTCCATATTAGGTATTGACAAACAGATGTCACTAAACTGCCCACTTTACAAACTATTTAGTACTATCAGTGTCAAAAGCAGCAAAAAAGCATATGTACAGTTCCATAAAAAAGTTTGTTACAGCTTTATTCTCAGTCTTATGCACTACTTTTTTTATTATCAAAACATGCTTTTCAATCACAATTAAGAGATTATCTCGGCTTCCTTCCTCTAACTTATGACTGTACATCTATAAGGAAAAAAGATTCTCTCACTGACTAAAGGAATGACAGTGAAAAAAGAAAGACAGTGAAATAATTCAATTATTATCTATCCATATGTAAACTACATACAGTTTAGAGGACACAGGGAAGGAAGTTAACTAACAATTTCATAAGTTAGGAACCATCCAAGCGTGGCTAAGCAGTTCCCACACTCATTAATCTCACTAAGATAGGACCCTTGTGGGGATCACTATGCATGGCTGTAATGATCCTAGCACTCCGGAGGCTGAGGCAGGAGACTGGCAATTGGAGGCTAGCCCTGCCGGGATACATATGAAGCTCAAGGAGAGTCTGAGGTCACACTGAGACCTGATTCAAAAACAGAAGAAAAAAAAAGGAAAGGAGCTACACACAGTCTGAAGAAAACATGGCAAATTTCCCAATGTATATTTCTTAGCTAACTCTTAAAACAATGAAAAGCAGATTACCACTAGTTACACAAAACTTAATCAATTAAAAAAATCAGAAAGACTTATTCACTCTGTTTCAGAAGCCATCAAATTAATCCCAAGCAAGAATAGTTTATAACTTTGTTGTGCTTTTTTTTTTTTTTTTTTTTTTTTTTTGCAGTACTGAGGATTGAACTCAGGTCTTGGACTTACTAGGTAGGCCACTCCACCAGTCTGCCAGGCCTTTTTGCAATGGTTAATTTTTTATTTTTATTTTTTTGGTAGTATGGGGTTTGAACTCGGGCCCTCATGGTTGCTAGGAAGGTGCTCTACCACTTGAGCCAATCCAACAGTCCCCTGCATTGGTTATTCTGGCTATTTCCTTCTGAATTTTACTTATGACTTCAAGGCTTCAGTTCTATGCCAAAAGGTGGTTCTCCCAGAGGCAATTCCTCAACTTCAACAGCAACTACATCAGGACTTTTTCTCTCAGACTGACTTAAGTGACTTAATTGTGTTCATCTGTGTTTTTACACGATATAGGTGACTTCAAGCTGTCTTCTAGCTCTAAAATGATGCAAGAGCATGTAATATGAAGTAAACCTAGAAGATATTCTTGGAATACTCAGTTTTGATTTCTAATAGGTATATCCTAATAACTCTAAAGACTGTTTAAACTTTTAACTTCTATTTTTTATTCCTATCTAACAACTTCGGTCTTCTGCATTGTCCAAACCAGTAATATGTTTATTATCTTATTTTGTACTCTTTGCTATCATTTACAAAAATTTGGAACTTGATTAAACCAAGGATCATAATTAATATAAAGTAAAATGTTAATAGTGCTTTCCACAATCTAAATTTTTAAACTGAAGTCTGAAGTCATGAGTAAGAGTTCAAGCCACTTTCAACATACAATATATATAAAACTACCGCTTAATTTTTATTACTTTTTTTTTCTTGGTGCAACTGAGGTTTGAGTTCAGGATTTTGTGCTTGCAAAGCAGGTGCTGTAATACTCGAGCCACACCTTCAGTCCACTTTGCTCTGGTTATTTGGATATAGAGTCTCGCCAACTACTGGTCGGGTCTGCCCTGGAACTGTGAGTCTCTGGATCTCAGCCTCCCAAATAGCTAGAATTACAGGCAAGAGCCACGGGCACCCTGACACCACTTAATTTTTATCTAATACGTACATCCTTTCAAATGTCTGCAAAGAAATACACTGACAATCAATAGCAATTATAAACCAGTGTAAGGATTTTAAATGACTGGGAACACTACTCTTTAGCAGTAATCCACATTGAAGACCTACTCCTATGAATTATTTTCCATTTTTGCATGTGTAGCTACCTGCAATATTCTCGCGTAATTTGGGGGACAGATGCATTTCTTACACAGGAGGTATAAATCAGGCAATAATGTTCCAACTAGGGGACAGGCAGAGTGGTTCAAGTGGTGGAGCACTAACTAGCACGTGTGAGGCCCCAAGTTTAAACCCCAGTACTGCCAAAAATAAAAAAGTAAATAAAAATTTTAAAACTACTTCCTATAATAATGTGGAGACTTTTCAAACTCTTAAAGCTTTGCTTTGGAGGGAAAAAAGTGACAAAGAACGAAACACTGCTGTTTCTTATGCTTAATTCTCTGGCATACCCAGAAAACCATTAAGTGTTTGGGATTAACGTACTACAAAATTTTTTTTAATCGCTGTGGTTCACACTGTTGTCACTTTACACTTTTTAGGCTATTCATTAAGTCTTAGATGTTTAAAACCGGTCATGTTCTCGAGCACATATTCCACAGCTCCGCACGGTTTATCTCCTACTATGCCCAAAACTTCAAGCAGAGCGGGTCTACTCCCTTTTCTCAGGAGGGTGACTCATAAGTCATGACAAAGCCACAAGAACTGATTCCCCCTCCACTCCTCAGCAAGCTTAGTAAAAGGCACAGAAAGGGAGTGGATAAAGAAGATCTTTCCGTCCGCTTCCTTCATACCAATATGCAAAGGTTCCTAGAACCCACTGTTCACCCCGCAGTTTCTGGACACACTACACGTTAGACACAGCCTTCGAATCCCTGCATCGAGAGACTCTGAAAATAATAATGCAAATCTTGGGCACGCCTTGCACCGAAATCAAACCCTGCCTGCAACTCTCTAGCAAGCCTCACTAACCCCACACCTGGCTGACCCGAGACGGTCCAAGCCCAAGGCCAGGCTCCTACAAAATTAATTCCCCCAATACAGTGGGACATTAGCCGAGACAGGCCCTGCATCGTCCCCCGGGCGACACCTTAGGCAGGGGACGACACAAAGGAGGCCGGCGACCTCCAAAGGCACGGGGTCGTTACGGGAAGCCGCGCGCCGCGCCGGGCCAAGTGCACCAGTGCCCAGCTGCCCCGCGTGTCCCGCCCTCCGGCCGCCCCGGCCCGCGCGCGGCTCACCTGGTCCCCCCCACGTTCAGCTGCACGATCTCGCCGCTGCCCGCCGCCGCCGCCGCGAAGTTGCCGCAGTGGCCGCCCGCCATCTCCGGAGGCTCCGGTCGCGCACGCCGCACCCCCTCCCCGGCTGGGTCCGCGGGGCCCGGGAGGCAGCGGCGGTGGCGATGGCGGTGGCGGTGGCGGCGGCTGCAGGGCCAGCGGGGCGGTGGCGGCCGGAGGGCGGTCGGCGCGCGGAACGTCCCACCTTCGCGGTGGACCTGCGGGTCTCGCTCGTGTCCGCCTCTTCCCCTCCGCTCCCGCCGCGTGCCAAGGCCGCCCGGCCTCCACCTCTCACGGCCTCCAGGCCGCCGGTCCTGCCCAGGCCTGTCCTCAGCGCTGGGCCTCCAGCGTCGCCGCCGCCACCGCCACGGCGGCCGCCGCAGCCACAGGCGGCCTGGGAGGAGGGGTCACCGCTCGGGACAAAATACCGCAGCGCGCACTCTTCACACGCCGCGCCTCGAGAGGGAGGGGCGCAGGAAGACTGAGGGAGCCGAGGCTTCTCGTCTGTGGGCGGGGCTTCCTGTCTGGAGGCGGGGTTTCCCCGAAGAGGGGGCGGGGCGCGCTTCAGACGGCCGCGGCCCACGCGGACTCCGCTACTCCCCGGGACTGAGATTCGCAGAGTTGGGGAATCCGGGCGAAATGTTCCGAGCATCTTCGGAATCCACCTTCTGCACACGGATTTGGGGAGGACGGGAGAATTTCCCTAGAGGAGGTAGAAGTTGATACCTAAATGCACATGTGCAGAAGTAGTGAAAATTTGTGGAATTTAGCACACTACGGCGGGGCTGGGGATGTGGTTCAGTGCTAGAGTGCCTGCCTAGCATGCCCAAGGCCCTGGATTCAAGCCTCAGCGCTGCAAAAAGCAAAAGCAGAAACAAAATGCTTTATAGCGCTTTATCTGTAAGACTCCTTTCCTTCCCTCTTCAATTTCATCCCCACTCTCCCAAGAGATTTTATTTTGTTAAGCAGAAATGGAAACAAGAAGACCAAAACAAAAAACTCAGGCTGTGGACTGTGTGCAATGTGTTTAGGGATATAGTAACTACTCAACTAAGGCTAGATACACACACAGACATCATGCAATGCAGTATCATTGTTTATTAATTTACTTTTGCTTTCAACATTGCATATTGGAACCTAAACCTTAGAAACTACTAAAATATATCTTTAAAGTGTACTAAACTGCACTACTACAATAACTGATGTCAGTCAGCTAGCAAAAGCTGTGCATTATATTTCAAAGTTCATTAGTTTGTGGTACTAAATTTTCAGCACAAGTTGTATGTTGTTTTAGTTTTACTATAGTAATTCAAAGTGACATCTTACAAGATGGTAAGTTTTTATTCTCATTGTCATCATTTTTAAAGTTCAGCTGGCAAATATACCAGTGACATAAAATACTTTATCCAGATTTGACTTAAATAGGATGGTAGTACTTACAAAGGTAAAGTAAATATTATTTACCCCAGATAGTGGTGATCGGGTTAATAATAATAGCTAATTTGTGTTTATTGAGGGCTTACTATGTGCCAGTGGTTTAAACATTTTTTTGTTACTTTGTCTTCATGACTGTTATCACTATTATAAAAATAGAAAACTGGGACTTAAAATGATCAGAAAACATTCTCAAAATGACATAGCTGGAAGTGGCAGAGTGGGAATCTGAATTCAGGGTCTTCTGAGCATCACACTGCACCTCATTGCTCTCTGCAAGATGAGTAGCAGTTCAGATTAAGGTAGAAGCAAACTAAAAATCCTTCCTATTTTTGAAGTTTAGCTGTCTTTGCCCAAACTCACAATGTCTGGTTTTATCAGGAACTGAAACTCTGCTCTCACATTTGTAGAACAGAATTAAATGATAAATATGCCACTTAATTTTCCCTAAGCCTAGATCTTGGAAGAAGGACAGAGAACACTTGCTATTTCTTTTTCCTAAAACAAATAAATGAAAAAATAATCATCTCATTACACATGAATTATTTATGAGCAGGACATCTATCTTATCAAAAGGGAAAGATCTCACTATTTCATAAAACAAATTGTCATTGCTCTTGATATGTCCAGATCAAGGAGTCTCTGATGGCACGTTTCATTCATTAAACTTAAGACATGACTTAATTTTTAAGAATAAATTGGAACAGCATTAATAAATTCAAAGACAATAAAATGAGAAAAAAAGATTTGCAGTATCTATCAGGAATATGATTTAAAATATCTGATTGCATGTGTATTCACATGCAATTAGTAATGGAATTATAACTAATGAAAACACTAAATTTGCTTGCTAAAACAAAAAAAATGCAATATTCATGAGGTTAACTAAAATTGAAAAGTTTGGGAAAATCCACAATTGACAAGAGTACAAAATGGTCAGATTAATGCATTGTTGATTAGAGTTTGAAAGGATATAGTTTTTGGAGAGCACTAGTGAGTATCAGCATTTTAAGTATACAAACCCTTGACCCCATAAATCTCTTCTGGGAATATTTCCTACAGACACTGTACATGTCATTGTGAAAAAAGCTCATGTTCATTGGAGCAGAATTATTATAAAGCAAAACCTTAGACTCAATCGGGAATCATTTTCAAAAATGTATCACCTATTATGACTCTTTGGGGGTCAACTCTCTATGACCCAACCAGAAAAAATGTCCAGGCATATGATTTAGTTGGGGGAAAAAATGAAGTAACAGGATAATACATTATGAATATAATCTTACTTATTTTTAAAGCCAAAACTAAAATCATGTTTTATCCACTAATACTTCTGTATGGAAGTGCATATATTAAACCGAAAAGAATAGAAACCTGTAGAAAGGTCTTAAAATTAATGAAGGGAATGCAGCTATGATAAACAGAGATAAAACCTTTTAACTCTATATTGTTTCATTATTTACAATGAGTTCTCATTCATATATGATTTGTATGTATGTTATGTATGTATAAATGTATAAGTAGTGTGGAGTCAAGGTTGACCCCATGACATTTTAAAAATATTTTTATTTAAATATTTACGCATATAAAATAGATTCAATGTTTAAATAACATCACTTTTAATTGCATGTTAAATTTGAGATGTCTAATTGTATCAGTCTGTTTTCTGCTGCTACAACAAAGTAATTGAGGATAGGCACTTTATACAGGAAAGAGATTTAGTTAGGTCACAGTTTTGGTGGCTGAAAATCCAAGTTCAGGTGGTCCTATCCATTCAGCTTCTGATGAAGGCCACCTCAGATGTATCACAACATTGCAGAGACACAGGAACAGAAATGGCTTCATTTAGAAAAGGAAATTATTACGTGCAGAAGAGATAAAGCCGGTGGGGGGAATGCTTTACACCAATCTTCTCTGTTGAGCCCTAACTTACTTTGTGACACCAGCCTTACTTTATCCTTTCCAAGGTGACCTAAGACATTCAACAAGGTCCTACCTCTCAAAGATTTTCCTACTGCAATGTCATCACAATGAATACCAAGCTTCCAGTGCCTTAATGTTTCAGGGAGACACTGAAACCATGGGAGACCAGTCCTCAAAAAGTCTCATGTAAAGGAGTATGTTTGTTTATTTCAAATTTTTGGAGGATCAATATTTGGTCCTACTGCACATGATTAAAACTTACCACATGCCACATACAACTTAGCAAACAAGGTTGGTATTGTTTGAATTGGTGCCTATTCAATGAGGAAAAAACATTGTTGATGTGCTTGGCTGAGGCAATGTCAAATTGCTATATTCTTGCTTTCATTTTGCACTAATTTCATTGTAGACTATAACAAATGATTTGTGCACTGAATTAGACGGTCAAGTAAGATATGGAGTAGGCAGCTGAATAAAAGAGCCTGATGTTGGGAAGAAAGCTCCAAGATGAAAATTCAAACCTCAGTAATACCTTCCCCCCAAAAAAAGAAAAAAAACTTTTAGAAGATATTATTTGTCCAGGTGTGGTGGCTCACTCCTATAAGCTCAGCTACTTGGGAGGTGGAGATTGGGGAGATTGTGGCTCAAAGCTAGCCCTGGGCAAAAATGTGCAACCCTATAGGAAAAATAACTAAAAATTAAAAAGGTCTGGAGGTGTAGCTTAAATTGTAGAGCACTTACCTAGCAAGTGTGAGGCCCTCAGTTCAAACTTAAGTACAACCAAAAATCTGCAGAAAGGTATAGGAACAGTCAAATACTGATGTTCAGTTCAAAACTGGGCCCGGCAGGTGTTCCTCACTGGTTTACTGTGTAGAAAAAAATGAATTCTCAAGAACCTGGTCATTCCTCCTGTAACGTTTCCAGTGTCCTCTGTTGATAAAATTTATCATTAAGACAGTTGGCAAAGAAAAACATAGTAAGGGCCCAGATAATTTTTATTCATAAGATAATAAAGTATAAATTTATCATATATGTATTTTTATTTAAGATGGATTTCTTATAGAGTACGTATAGTTGGATGTCAATTCTTAACATATAATCTGAAAATCTCTGCCTTTTAATTGGAATAGCTAGACCATTTACAGTTTACGTAATTGCTGACATATTATATAGTTACATTTAACCTGATTAAGTTGTTTGTTATTTCCTAGTAAATTATTTTTTGATGGGACTGGCATTTGAATTCAGGGCTTAAACTCAGGGCTTTGTACTTGCACAACAGGCAATCTATAGTTTAAGATACACCTCCAGTCCTTTTCTTTTTTAATTAATTGTTTTGTTGTATTTTTCTTTTTTTTTTATTTTTTCCTTTTTTACTTGATTTTTTGGATTGCTTCTACATATTATATGATTTGGTTGTGTCAATTTAAAGATAAGAACTGGCAAGTCCTGAAGTGTTCTGCAGTAATTCAATCGACAAAACTATTGCAAGGTTCTCACACTTACCCCTCCTAAGAAAATACTAACTTCCCTGAAATAACACTTTGAGATATAAAGTGCTTAAAAGGCATTTAGTATTAGAAAACTCCCTGAGATCACACACAGGTGAGTGTAGAATGAGACAAAAATAGGAATCTGAATAGAGTTCTTTGACCATCCAACATTAAGGGATTGAGGAGGGGAAGATCCAGTGAAGACCAGGAAGGAGCACCGGCCAGATGGAGGTAAACCAGCAGAATGTGGGGTCTTTCAAGATAAGAGGTCAAGTGGATGCAGACCAAGAACTAACCATTGCAGTTAGCAGTGTGAAGGACACAGGTGAGTGTGGAAACAAGAGCAGCTGCAGTGCAGTGGTGGGAAAAACAGCATGTTTGGTGTTTCCTGGAAAGAGGACCAAGGAAATGGACCAAGAAAGCAGGGCAAGTAATGGCCTTTCTCACATAGCAATCATCCTAGTGGCCCAGGTGGTAACTAG